AACTAACACTCTACAGAACAGAACTAACACTGTGCAGATTAGAACTAACACTCTACAGAACAGAACTAACACTGTGCAGATTAGAACTAACACTCTACAGAACAGAACTAACACTGTGCAGATTAGAACTAACACTCTACAGAACAGAACTAACACTGTGCAGATTAGAACTAACACTCTACAGAACAGAACTAACACTGTGCAGATTAGAACTAACACTCTACAGAACAGAACTAACACTGTGCAGATTAGAACTAACACTCTACAGAACAGAACTAACACTGTGCAGATTAGAACTAACACTCTACAGAACAGAACTAACACTGTGCAGATTAGAACTAACACTCTACAGAACAGAACTAACACTGTGCAGATTAGAACTAACACTCTACAGAACAGAACTAACACTGTGCAGATTAGAACTAACACTCTACAGAACAGAACTAACACTGTGCAGATTAGAACTAACACTCTACAGAACAGAACTAACACTGTGCAGATTAGAACTAACACTCTACAGAACAGAACTAACACTGTGCAGATTAGAACTAACACTCTACAGAACAGAACTAACACTGTGCAGATTAGAACTAACACTCTACAGAACAGAACTAACACTGTGCAGATTAGAACTAACACTCTACAGAACAGAACTAACACTGTGCAGATTAGAACTAACACTCTACAGAACAGAACTAACACTGTGCAGATTAGAACTAACACTCTACAGAACAGAACTAACACTGTGCAGATTAGAACTAACACTCTACAGAACAGAACTAACACTGTGCAGATTAGAACTAACACTCTACAGAACAGAACTAACACTGTGCAGATTAGAACTAACACTCTACAGAACAGAACTAACACTGTGCAGATTAGAACTAACACTCTACAGAACAGAACTAACACTGTGCAGATTAGAACTAACACTCTACAGAACAGAACTAACACTGTGCAGATTAGAACTAACACTCTACAGAACAGAACTAACACTGTGCAGATTAGAACTAACACTCTACAGAACAGAACTAACACTGTGCAGATTAGAACTAACACTCTACAGAACAGAACTAACACTGTGCAGATTAGAACTAACACTCTACAGAACAGAACTAACACTGTGCAGATTAGAACTAACACTCTACAGAACAGAACTAACACTGTGCAGATTAGAACTAACACTCTACAGAACAGAACTAACACTGTGCAGATTAGAACTAACACTCTACAGAACAGAACTAACACTGTGCAGATTAGAACTAACACTCTACAGAACAGAACTAACACTGTGCAGATTAGAACTAACACTCTACAGAACAGAACTAACACTGTGCAGATTAGAACTAACACTCTACAGAACAGAACTAACACTGTGCAGATTAGAACTAACACTCTACAGAACAGAACTAACACTGTGCAGATTAGAACTAACACTCTACAGAACAGAACTAACACTGTGCAGATTAGAACTAACACTCTACAGAACAGAACTAACACTGTGCAGATTAGAACTAACACTCTACAGAACAGAACTAACACTGTGCAGATTAGAACTAACACTCTACAGAACAGAACTAACACTGTGCAGATTAGAACTAACACTCTACAGAACAGAACTAACACTGTGCAGATTAGAACTAACACTCTACAGAACAGAACTAACACTGTGCAGATTAGAACTAACACTCTACAGAACAGAACTAACACTGTGCAGATTAGAACTAACACTCTACAGAACAGAACTAACACTGTGCAGATTAGAACTAACACTCTACAGAACAGAACTAACACTGTGCAGATTAGAACTAACACTCTACAGAACAGAACTAACACTGTGCAGATTAGAACTAACACTCTACAGAACAGAACTAACACTGTGCAGATTAGAACTAACACTCTACAGAACAGAACTAACACTGTGCAGATTAGAACTAACACTCTACAGAACAGAACTAACACTGTGCAGATTAGAACTAACACTCTACAGAACAGAACTAACACTGTGCAGATTAGAACTAACACTCTACAGAACAGAACTAACACTGTGCAGATTAGAACTAACACTCTACAGAACAGAACTAACACTGTGCAGATTAGAACTAACACTCTACAGAACAGAACTAACACTGTGCAGATTAGAACTAACACTCTACAGAACAGAACTAACACTGTGCAGATTAGAACTAACACTCTACAGAACAGAACTAACACTGTGCAGATTAGAACTAACACTCTACAGAACAGAACTAACACTGTGCTAAAATTAGAACTAATTTGTTATAAATTAGAACTAACTTGTTATAAAATAGAACTAGCTTGGTATAAATTAGAACTAATGTGGTTTAAATTAGAACTAACTTGTTATAAAATAGAACTAACTTGATATAAATTAGAACTAACTTGGTATAAATTAGAACTAACATGGTATAAAATAGAACTAACTTGGTATAAATTAGAACAAACTTGGTTAAAATTTTAGAACTAACTTGTTATAAAATAGAACTAACTTGGTATAAATGAGATATAACATGGTATAAATTAGGTTTATAACGTGGTTTAAATTAGAACTAACATAAATTAGATATAACGTGGTATAAATTAGATATAACGTGTAATAAAATAGAACTAACAAGCCATCACACGCTACAGACTTGAACTAACACTGTGCAGAATAGAACTAACACTGTGCAGATTAGAACTAACACTCTACAGAATAGAACTAACACTGTGCAGATTAGAACTAACACTCTACAGAATAGAACTAACACTGTGCAGATTAGAACTAACACTCTACAGAATAGAACTAACACTGTGCAGATTAGAACTAACACTCTACAGAATAGAACTAACACTGTGCAGATTAGAACTAACACTCTACAGAATAGAACTAACACTGTGCAGATTAGAACTAACACTCTACAGAATAGAACTAACACTGTGCAGATTAGAACTAACACTCTACAGAATAGAACTAACACTGTGCAGATTAGAACTAACACTCTACAGAATAGAACTAACACTGTGCAGATTAGAACTAACACTCTACAGAATAGAACTAACACTGTGCAGATTAGAACTAACACTCTACAGAATAGAACTAACACTGTGCAGATTAGAACTAACACTCTACAGAATAGAACTAACACAGTGTTAGTTCTATTCTGTAGAGTGTTAGTTCTATTCTGCAGCGTGTTAGTTCTAATCTGTCTGTAGCGTGTGAGTTCTAATCTGCAGATTAGAACTAACACTCTACAGAACGGAACTAACACTGTGCAGATTAGAACTAACACGCTACAGAATAGAACTAACATAGAATAAGTTAGAACTAACAATGCATAGGTACGAATTAGAATGAAACAAGATCAGTAAAATATGGAACTTACACACAATAGTGTCATGCAACCTGGGACATATGCGACCTTTTGCTTCTTCTTTCCCTCCAAAGCAACTCCAATGCCCCTGATAATTTCATTATAAAAGAACGGGGCCCATGCAACAGAATTGACCCTCTGAATGCTATCCAGGTATCTGAGTAAGGGTCTAGGGATACCTTCCCCTGCTATGGGACTCCATATCATAGAGCATTGGTACAAAATTTGTAGCAGAGCAAAATCCTCGATATCCCGCTTTTTGGTAGATTCAACAAGCCGTTCAAGTAGCCCTTCAAGATGTTTACGTTGGCTGGTTTCTGATTTTTTTAACTTCTTACCCTCTTCAGAAATGAAAAGCTTAGCGAAGTATTCCAGCCATATTCTGCTTCTTGAGTCCCTATTGTTCCTTATGTCCTCCCCATAAATTGGGAAATAAGTATGGTTGTGGACCCATTGCAAATCAAAACTAACATTTTTCATACCCCCACTTTTTGAATCAGGTATACAAAAGGTGTTATTATCTCTATCGAAAAAGCTCAGCAGCAGCTCAAGGGTGGGCCGATCAGCCGCAGGAGCCCCAAACAAAATGTAGTGCTGAAATATAGAACCGCAGTATGCATCCCTATGCCACTGACGGATCTTCGGGGCAAGGCGCTTCATAAATGCCCAATAAGCCCCGATATTGGCCGTTAACCTTAGTGTTTCTGCTGAGCCTGTTAGAGCAATTTTTTTCCTGCAAAAAATTTTCGAATTTGTACGTTCAATAAGACATATGAAACAATATTAGACCTAGCACTAACGGGAACAAAATAGAGCTAACACGTAATATTATAGAACTAACATTGGACTCATATTAGAACTAACATTGGACTTAAACTAGATCTAACGTTGGTATAAATTTAGAACTAACATTGGACAAAGCCTAGAACTAACAATATTGGGTTAATCTGCATTGTCTCTTCGCAGTATAACATAAGCCTAGAACTAACAATATTGGGTTAATCTGCATTGTCTGTTCGCAGTATAACATAACACTTACTGTTTTTTTGAGGGGGGTTCGTTGGTACGACCAGCCATTGTCGTCCTCCTTTTCTGGTCTCGCCATTGTAATGCCTCCTTTTGCATTTCGATTAGGGTTTTCGTAGCTTCCGTAGCTTCCTCCGTGCTGCCACCCGCAGATGAAGCGCCTTTTCCTTCCAACTCGGCTCGGTGCCCGACCTCGTAGTCGTTACTGGATTTTTCCGTAGACGACGACATTTTTCCGGCGAAAACCCTAGAAACGTTGAAATTCGTACAGAAATTAGGAAGATGAAGAGTTCTTGATGACGGTGCTAGGTGGAAGAGAGAGAAAGAGAGGGAGAGTACTTGTAAAGGTGAGGGGCACATTAACCCAGCTCAGTCCCATCAGAGGGCAAGATAGTAACTTCCGCTGGGCTTTTTCTGAAAAGAGTCAATTCGGGGCCTCGTCGCAAATACTATGCGTATTTGGGGCTATTCCACATGGGGCAAAGTACAGGGGGGCTAGTCACACGAAGTTCCCACTTTTGGGGCCTGGACACATTTTTCCCCTAAATCTTAGTTCCCAAAAGCAACCTATAATTTTTTTGGTTCGAAATTAACACTTAGACCCAAGCTGATTCATTCTTCGGTTAGCATGACCCAGATCTAAACCCAAGCCCAATGAGAACGAAAAATCGAAACATCAACGAAGAAGAAAGTAAAGTAACCAAAATCAAGTCCCTCGCCCCACCCCAAAAAATCCCCAAATTTCGAAGCAAAATCAGGGAGGGAGAGGGTGAGAGCGAGAGAGCAAAAGCAAGCAATTAATCGAAAAATGGAGCCTTTCATTGGCGCCAATCCCATTCCCCTCCTCTAAATCCTCAAATCAAACCCCAGTTAGGGTTTCAATCCCGGATCGGATCTGAGGGTTGATCATCTCAGTACCAGATCTAACCCCAGATCCAATCCTCTCAAAACCCTAATGCCCTCTCGATCCTCCTCCTCCGCCATGGCTCGCCTCAGTTCCATGACCCCCAGCTATCAAAGAAGCACGAAGACTCCACGTCATCATCGTCAGTCGCCATCCCCTGACGCCCTCGCCTGCGTCATCAACTCCGAGGTCGCCGCCGTCCTCGCCGTCATCGGCGCCGCACGTCCGCTGGGGCGGCCGTTACGCGTCCGCCGCGACGACCACCTCGACCCAACTCCTCATCCAGTCCGCTCAAGTCCGTCCGCCGCCAGATCTTCTCCTGGGACACGACCGCGCTGGGCCTCCGTGGACCCCACTCCTACCTCCGCCTTTCCTCGACGTCATCCGATCGACGAGAACCGGGCCCCCCCGATCACCGGCGTCGCGTTATCATCAAGTCTACAAGATCTTGACCCTCGATGCCTTGGATCCGAGGGCTACGGTTTAATGTGGGCGAGGCGATGCAGGTCGTCGTTAGGATGCGGTTCGAGCTGCCGGTTTGAAGTGACCGACCCGGCCTCAGAGGAGGCGGTGCTAATGAAGATCCTGCAGGTTTTGCTTGCTTGTATGAAGAGCAGAGCGTCGGCGGTGCTCAGTAATCAGCATGTTTGTACTATTGTGAATACTTGCTTTCGGGTTGTTCATCAGGCTGGGACGAAAGGGGAATTGCTTCAGAGGATCTCCAGGCAAACAATGCATGAGCTTATTAGATGCATCTTCTCGCATTTGGCTGAGGTTAATGGAGATGGGAGCGAGAGGAGCAACGTGAAGCAGCCTGAGGTAATACTGAAAATTTTTAACCTTTTTTTCTCTGAGTTGGGTATTTGTTGATTTTGTGTTATTGAGGTAAAGTTTTGTTCTCTTTTGCTTTTGTGGAGATGGGCGGGGTTGACATGGATCAGGGTTTTGGAATTGAACAAGCGGAGAATGGAAATGGAGGTGATGGGACTGTTGTGGGAGCTGAGAATGGCTTGGTAGCTGCGGAAGTGCCAAATGGGATGAGGGCCATGGTGGAGCCTTATGGAGTTCCTTGTATGGTGGAGATATTTCACTTCTTATGTTCTCTTTTGAATGTTGTCGAGCAGATTGGGATGAGTCCTAGGTCGAGTCCTATAGCTTTCGATGAAGATGTGCCTCTTTTTGCTCTTGGTTTGATCAATTCGGCTATTGAGTTAGGGGGTTCTTCGATAGGTAAACACCCGAAACTGCTGGCTCTCATACAGGATGAGCTGTTTAGGAATTTGATGCAGTTTGGCCTGTCAATGAGCCCTCTCATTCTCTCCATGGTTTGTAGCATTGTTTTGAATCTCTATTACCATTTGAGGACGGAGCTGAAGCTACAGCTAGAGGCATTCTTCTCCTGTGTGGTTTTGAGACTAGCACAGAGTCGGTATGGGGCCAGTTACCATCAGCAGGAGGTTGCAATGGAGGCTCTTGTGGATTTTTGTAGGCAGAAGACGTTTATGCCCGAGATGTATGCTAACTTGGACTGTGACATAACTTGTAGCAATGTGTTTGAGGACCTTGCAAACCTTCTCTCAAAGAGCGCATTTCCAGTAAATTGCCCGTTGTCTGCTATGCATGTCCTTGCTTTGGATGGTTTGATTGCTGTGATTCAAGGAATGGCAGATAGAATAGCTAATGCACCTCCTCGAATGGAAGAAGCATCAGTTGAACTCGAGGAGTATTCCTCCTTTTGGACAGTAAGATGTGAAAACTACTCTGATCCTGAGCATTGGGTTAGATTTGTTCGTCGACGGAAGTACATAAAAAAGAGGCTGATGATTGGTGCAGATCACTTCAACAGAGATCCAAAAAAGGGATTGGAGTTTCTTCAGGGCACCCATCTTTTGCCTGAAAAACTCGACCCGCAGAGTGTGGCATGCTTTTTCCGGTACACTGCAGGGTTGGACAAGAACCTTGTTGGAGATTTCTTGGGCAACCATGATGAGTTTTGTGTTCAGGTTCTACATGAATTTGCTTGGACATTTGATTTTGAAGGCATGAATCTCGATACTGCCCTAAGGCTGTTTCTAGAGACATTCAGGCTGCCAGGTGAGTCTCAGAAGATACAAAGAGTGCTCGAGGCTTTCTCGGAAAGATACTATGAGCAGTCGCCTCAGATTCTTGCTAATAAGGATGCTGCTCTTCTGCTATCGTACTCCCTTATAATGCTCAACACAGACCAACACAATGTGCAGGTAAAGAAGAAGATGACTGAAGAGGACTTCATTCGAAATAACCGTCACATCAATGGTGGAAATGACTTACCTAGAGAATTTTTGTCTGAGCTTTACCACTCAATCTTGCAAAACGAGATAAGGACCATTCCTGACCAAAGTATCGCTTTCCCTGAAATGACCCCCAGTCGTTGGATAGATTTGATGAGGAAATCAAAGAAGACATCTCCATACATCATTTGTGATTCTCGTCCTTTCCTAGATCATGATATGTTCGCAATCATGTCAGGCCCCACAATTGCTGCAATCTCTGTGGTTTTTGATTATGCCGAGCATGAAGAAGTCTTTTTGACTTGTCTGGAAGGATTCTTAGCTGTGGCGAAGATATCAGCGTACCATCATTTGGAAGATGTACTCGACGATTTAGTTGTGTCCCTTTGCAAGTTCACTACTCTTCTCAATGCTTCCTTAGTTGACGAGCCAGTTACTGCTTTTGGAGATGACTCAAAAGCTAGGATGGCGACCGAAGCTGTGTTCAACATAGCAAACAGATATGGAGATTTCATACGTACAGGTTGGAGAAATATACTGGATTGTATCTTGAGGCTGCATAAGCTAGGCCTACTTCCTGCTCGTGTTGCTAGTGATGCTGCTGATGATTCTGAGCTCCCATCAGATACAGTTCATGGGAGGCCTCCTCCAAGCTCTCTTTCCACATCTCTTCCATCTATGGGGACCCCCCGACGATCCTCTGGGCTCATGGGGAGGTTTAGCCAGTTATTGTCTCTTGACACAGAGGAACCGAGGTCACAACCAACTGAACAGCAACTTGCTGCTCACCAAAGGACTCTTCAGACTATACAAAAATGTCATATAGACAGTATATTCACTGAAAGCAAGTTCCTTCAGGCTGATTCCCTACTACATCTCGCTCGGGCCCTTATTTGGGCAGCAGGTCGGCCTCAGAAAGTCACCAGCTCACCTGATGATGAGGACACTGCTGTTTTCTGCTTGGAGCTACTTATTGCGATTACCCTCAATAATCGGGATAGAATTGTTCTCCTTTGGCAGGGGGTGTATGAGCACATAGCCAACATTGTTCAGAGTACCGTAATGCCTTGTGCCCTTGTAGAGAAAGCTGTCTTTGGACTTCTCCGGATTTGTCAGAGGTTACTTCCTTATAAAGAAAACCTTGCTGATGAACTCCTTAGGTCACTTCAACTGGTTTTGAAACTTGATGCCCGAGTGGCTGATGCATATTGTGAGAATATAACACAAGAAGTAACGAGGCTAGTGAAGGCAAATGCCACACATATAAAAAGCCATACAGGATGGCGTCACCTCTTTGCTATCCATAACTGCTCGACACCCTGAGGCTTCTGAAGTGGGATTTGAGGCGCTGGTGTTTATAATGTCCGAAGGGGCTCACCTTTCACCAGCCAACTATGTTCTCTGTATTGAGGCAGCAAGGCAATTTGCAGAGTCTCGGGTTGGACTAATAGATAGATCTGTACGTGCGCTGGATCTTATGGCAGAATCAGTAGTTTGCCTTGCTCGTTGGTCTACTGAGGCCAAAGAAGCAGGTGAAGAGGCTGAGAAGATACAAGAAGGGATTAGGGAGATGTGGCTGAGGCTGGTGCAGGCATTGAAGAAAGTGAGTATAGATCAGAGGGAGGAAGTTAGGAATCATGCTATAACATCTCTTCAGAGATGCCTTGTGGGAGCTGAGGGAATTTGCCTCTCTCCCTCTTCTTGGCTGCAGTCTTTTGACCTAGTTATATTTGCTGTTCTTGATGATCTTTTGGAGAATGCTCAGAGTCAGTCACAGAAAGAATACCGAAACATGGAGGGCACCCTTTTGATTGCCATGAAGTTGTTATCCAAGGTCTTTTTGCAGCTTTTACAAGAGCTTTCTGGACTTAGTAGCTTCTGCAAGCTGTGGCTTGGTGTTCTTGGTCGCATGGAGAAGTACATGAAGGTGAAGGTGAGAGGAAAGCGAAGTGAGAAACTTCAAGAATTGATTCCAGAGCTACTGAAGAACACATTGCTTGTGATGAAAACCAAAGGTATTCTTGCAAAGAGGAGCACAATAGGAGGAGACAGCTTATGGGACCTTACTTGGCTTCATGTGAACAACATTGCACCATCTCTACAGACTGAGGTGTTCCCAGATCAAGAATCTGAGCAGACCGATAGAAGTGGTTCAGGGGTTGAGGAAGGCAATCAGGGTGGAGGTTGATCTCTTGCTTTCTTAGTGGGATTTGTAGAAATTTTAAAGACTGTTCTTAACAAAGTGGACTTCGTGGGTCATCATCATTGAATTTACGAAGAAAATTTTGATCAGTGACTTCCTGCAGGTATAATGTATTTTTTTGTGTATTTCTTATATAAGTTTTTCGATCATCAACTTCTTCATTGTTGCGGTTATGCGTGGTACATGTATTCCTTTCTGCATGCAAGTTTTCTAGAGAACCTTTATTGAGGTTCAATCTCATATATAAGTTGTGTGTGTACGGGTGCCTTAAGAAAGTTTCTCATATATCTCAGAAAACTTTTCTGGTAGCAAATATAATGTTATTAAACAGTTCAATGCAAGTGACTAAAAAATGTCTCTGTGATAGCTATTGGGCAGATTTGGTTTTGGAGCACAGAGCTGTTAGCCTGTTACAATACATAACAGAGATGTCACATCAGGCCATATCCTGTGTCAAAGTAACTCATTTTAGAAAGTAGAGCAGATCATTTTCTTTGCATTTTTTTAATAACTGTTGACCAGAATTCCTAAGATTAGCTTTTTTACATTTTCCTCTCACTAGCCCTACCATGTCTCATATCAGTACTACTTTATTTCACCTAGACATAAAATACTTTTGACATTGTTCTGTTACTGATAGTCCACGGTTGGATGTGAATATATGGTCAATTCTTACTACTTGTCCAGATATGATTCTTATGGCCTTGAAACCTGCCACCACCACCCCCACCCCCACCAAAAAAAAAAAACACACATACACAAACAAATTTGTGACCTCAGCATACTACGTTATCCCCTAGGTTGCGTGCATACGGGTACGGGACCTGACAAATTTGTAAAAGGTAGTGTACGGGGAAATGGCTACACAGAGGGTGTAACTTAGTTATACGCAGATGTGAAAATACATGTTTGACCATCAATATCAATGATCCAAACCGTTCATTGTGATCTACACATTCTAAAAATTCATGTAGATTAAAAATTACATAAAGTCAATATTTCTACTTTACTCATCTGATGACCTAGAAATGGTTGATCTGTAACTATCTTAAAAGTTGATTACTTTGAGTTGCTTGAATTATGAGATAGAAAATTCTAAATCACACGATTTTTGATCCATTTGTATTTGATGACATATAGATTATAGTGAACAGTTTGGATTTGTAAAATACAAAGGCAAATATGTATTTTTAGAGGTGTTTGTAACTACGTTTGTTGCACCATGTGTTTTATAACCATACTCTATATAGTATATATATACATGTTTTGTACATTTATATGTATTAAAATTAATAATTTGCATAAGATCAATATTTTTTTTTCATTTATGTAAAATCAGTACATAAGAAATAGATGTAAAGTGTAGAATATACATCCAAGAAGAGTATACGCCCGAATAAATCATGTACTATATAATTGAGTATACACCTGAATAAACATATGCATATACTCAAGAAGTGTCCAAGAGGTTTGGGTATGGGTATGGGTACGTGTCGGGTAAAGAGGTATGGCTTCCTAATAGAAGTATCCAGGTAACATAGGTTATCCCTATTGTTTGCATTCGGTTTGTTTGGAGTTACGTCCTATTGTTTCTAACTAATTGCTAAATGCCACATTTCTGTAGCACAAGGCTAAGCGCATTGGGTCCTTTTATATAATACGACGTAAGTCTCGAGGGGTGAGCATGAGCCTCATGAGTTAGTTATATTTTGTTTTTAAAATTTATGAATATTATATGCATATAATATATAGTGGTAGAATAATTTACAGCTAGATATGTTCATGTGTTGGACATGAAATATGAATGAAAGATGCTAAGTATAAACCCAAATCATAATACACTAAGCTACATGTATAAGACACATATCTTATTTATAGTCACTGATCATATTGAGGACATGTGTCTAATGTTTTAAGTTTTTCTTAGGAAGATTGAGCTTAGTTCTATATTAATTTTAGCGTCCAATTAAAAGTGAACAAGAAAATAGGTACAACTAAAAAATTAAATTTAAAAAATATCAAAGTGTAGAGACAATAAACCCCATTCAGATGCACAAAGAAACAAGAAATCAATATACAGTTTAGAATTGTTGGAAACAAGCTGAATTAGTAAAATTAAATGTTTATCTAAAGCACAAAAGAGAAGCAGATATATGATAGGATTAGATAAGATAATTGCTTTGGCCTTTTATTCAGTAAAAAGAAAAGGGCAAATCCTTGAGGACAAGGAAAAGAAAATGAAGATATACGACATTTTAATTATGGTATAACAAATCTTTCTTCGAATCGTGTCTGAAGTGTGTGCTTGAAAAGAGAAACTCTTCACGAGATGCAGAGCACACACTTAAAATTATGCTTTAAGTGATGAGGTGTATGATTCCATGGTCATATCACTATTCTTAGTGCTGTAAAGTAGTTAGACTTCAAAATGTTCCAAAGCTAGCCTCAGAACGTGCTTCAGAAAGCTTTTTCATACGCTGATTCAACTATTCCAGATCATAGCTTCGACTATTATGCTCCTTTGTTATCTTTACATACTATCATGCTATATATTTCAATAAAACCTCTATCTGTTCCTAATTCTATGCAACCTCTCTCAACATTTATTTATGTGCTCAGGTGCATTCTGTATTTCTCAGGTGTTAACCTCTTCTTTGTTCAAGCTTTGTAATTTCTTAATTCTCTTTAGGATGGAATTATGGTTAAAAAAATGCTGTTGATTGATGGATATGTCACTTGTTCTAGCCATGGAATGGATTGCTAAGTAACATTTCTCATGGGAAAAGTAATGACACATGTTCTTGGTGCTTCACAACTTCTCTTAATATTCACCTGCATTTTGCGATTGCTCTTAGAAAAAGTATTTATTTATTTATACCTCAAAAGTGATAACTCTTGCTATTAGTTAAATTTGTGATTCGGTTACATGATTTATGATGTACACCTTAAGTAGTTACTTCATTTTAGTAATACCATGTTTGTGTTTGCATTATCATCAGTCTCTAATGTGTTTTTATACCCATCAAGATAAGAATATTTGTAAACTGGATTATTTTTGTCTTCTTCGGAGGATCCCTCTTGTTCCCGTTTAGTCTTCTTCGTTTCTACATCGCCTTGTTCCTTTCTTTTGTTTTTGAGGTTTCTTTCAGTTTCTTAGTGACAATAGTTGACGGCATTCTGCCTAAATATTAGACACGGGTGATAAAACGTGTTTGTGATGGAAGGAAGAAGAGAGATCAACCAAGGAAAGAAAGACAGACCAAGCCTGCAAGATCAAGCACCTAAGACTCAAACCCATTTTACAAGCTATAACTAGTTTGCTAGACTAGGACTAAGGTTTTCTGTTTTGCCTCTTACGCATCCTTCTGGAGCGTTCTTCATAGCTGCGTCAAAATAGTCTTCCTCGACCCTGTCCGGTATTGCTCATGTAAGAGACGATATAGTAATGCTCGCTAAGCTTGTCCCCAAAGATTGCAGACCTCAGTTATCGTGCTCTTTGGGCTAATACCAAATCTACCGTATAGCGAGTTCATAAGTATCTTGTAAACATAGGACATCACGTCATTACCTGTTCTCTTAGCTTTGTCAAATGGTTATATCGATCAAGATTGCATACCTCAGTTATCGTGTTTTTTGGGCTACCAAATCTACCGTATAACGAGTTCGTAAGTATCTTGCAAACATATGACATCATGTCATTAGCTGTTCTCTTAGCTTCTTGTCTACTCTCAAATATGGTGGAAACAAAGCTCCTGAAAGGGCTGCTATTTTTCTTTTCAAACAAGTAGCCAGAGAGAGGAATGATCCTGTAATCTATGTCGCGCGCACCCCCGGGTGAAGGGGAAACAAGAAAATGCCTTCCATCCCCCCCCCTTCAGCGGACCTTGCCGCCTTCCTTAACAAGCCCTCAAGCCTCCTTTTCGCCGCCTTCGTCATAGAAGCCGCCAGGATTAGAGCCAATTGAATCTAAAAGGAACATCCATCTGTTAGAATTTTCCCATAATGGAATATTGATTAACTGATGAAAACTCAGAGGAAGCCATATTTTCATAGCCATTTTAGTAATTTTTGTGGCTAATTTCAATTTCACATTCTTTTGTGCCATTAGTTTAGCCCTTCTGTCTCATTCTTATCTGATTGCTTTCTTCGTCATTTGATCCACCTTAATCACTCGAAGAGTAAAATCTCTCCGAAGATACAAACTTTCTTGCTGGGTATGCCTCCGCCGCTCTCTTAAAAAGCCAAGTATCTTAATGTATTAAGAAATGATGTTTCAATTCTTTGGAGACACCGGCCCAAACAAGATGTAATTTGGTTTTAACTTGCTGTCTGATATATCTGAAAAGACTAGGTCCATGCATGCCATGCCTATAGGGGCAATCTGTTTTAGTATCGGACATCAAGCTGTTTTATGGGTTTTAACACAAATATCATATATGGTAACTGAGAAAATTAGAATGTTATATGGTTGGTGTACTCTCTTTCCAGTATTATTTGAAATCTTTTTTCATTAGCTTTTCAAGGATGGATAAGCTCTCTCATCTGTTGTTTAGTATCGGACAATCTGTTCTAGTTTCGGACATCAAATTGTTTTATGGGTTTTAACAAAAATATCATATATGGTAACTGAGAAAATTAGAATGTTATATGGTTGGTGTACTCTCTTTCCAGTATTATTTGAAATATTTTTTCATTAGCTTTTCAAGGATAGATTCTCTCTCCTCTATTGTTTAGTATTTTTCTATCAAGTCAGTATTTTTCTATCAAGTCAGCATTTTTCATTGTCTTTTTTTGAAGTATGTAAGTTCTTACAGGCAAGGTTTTAAATACCGGTTATCGGGGATTTATCGGACAGTCAGAATCCATGTCAGATAGCGGATATTGGGGGTATATCGGGGATAAGTAGTATTTATCGGAGTGACATTACCGGATGGTGGTATACATAATATAATATTCTAAAATATAATCTAACCATATTTAATAGGATATAAACATACCAAAATGTAAATAATATAATCTAAAATATAATATTTTAAAATATAATTATTTACCGGATGGTGGTATACATAATATAATATTCTAAAATATAATCTAACCATATTTAATAAGATTAAACATACTAAAATATAAATAATTATGTTTAGGATCACTAA